GGCTGGAGCCTTGTTCAACAGCTTTGAATTGGAGGAGCAGGGGAGGCCGCGCCTCCGCACCTGTCCCTGCCTCTGCGCCTCCACACGACCGCTGCCGTTGGTGCTGCCGCGCAGGAGGTCGACACGGCAGCGCTGGCGGCGGCGGGGCTGCCCCCCAGCCCCATCCATGGCCTCAACCCCTGGCCTCAGGTGCGCCAGCCGGCCGGCGACCAGCCCCCACACGCTGCCACCACCTGCCTGCCTGGGGCGTGCGCTGCAGGCTGCACGACCGGCGGGCGTCCTGCAGGCAGCACCCAGCCGCTGCTGCCTCGCCAGCTGCCGCCCGGCCTGCCACCGGCCTTGGGGTGCCACGCCACGGCCGCCTGCAGGACGCGGAGTTCCAGCGCCTGCTGCGCGCCTACATCGGCGGCTGCCTGCAGCTGGGGGCCGCCATCCTGCGCGGCATCGCCCTGGGCCTGCAGCTTCCGGAGAGCTACTTTGAGGGCGACGTGGCAGGTGGGCGGGACCGGCAGGGCGGAGGCGCAGGGTACTGCACAGCGTGCCGAGGGCAGGCAGGGCCCCGCAGCGCCTGCTGCCTGCTGGCGTCATGGTCGGCGGCGGTCGCCACGCTGCCGCCAGGCTGCCGCGCCTGCCCGCCGCCTCTCCTGCCGGCTGCCCACCCGCCAGCCTGCATCCCTGGCTGTCTGCAGGCGACAGCTACTGGGTCACTCGAATCATCCACTATCCGCCGCTGCAGCCGGAAAGCAGCCAGCAGGCAGGCAGCGGCCAGCAGGCAGGCAGCAGCCAGCCGCCGGGCGGCGCAGGCGCGGGGGCTGGCGGCGCTGCGGGCGGCGGCGAGGAGCTCAGCTGCGGGGAGCACACGGGTGGGCATGGCGGGAGCACAGTATGCTGGGAGGGCCGGCCGGGTCGCCAGCGCAGCGTGGGGGCAGCGCGCCACGCCGCCCCTGCCTCCTTTGCCGGCCTGCGCTCCTACGCCTCCCACCCTCCCCTGGCTCCCACCAAGCCCGTGCCTGCCTGCCCGCTGACCCCTGGCCCCCTGCAGACTACGGGCTGCTGACGCTTGTGTTCCAGCAGGAGGGCGTGACGGCGCTGCAGGTGAAGAACGCGGCGGGGCGGTGGGTGGACGCGCCGCCGCTGCCCGGCACCTGCGTCGTCAACATCGGCGACATGTTCCGCCTGCTCACCAATGGACTCTACACGCCCACCGCGCACAGGTGCCGCGCGCGTCGCGGCCCGGGTGGGAGGGAGGGGCTGCTTTCTGGGTGCCTGCTGGCGTGCAGGGCGGCAGCACGGCGTCGCCATGCGGCGCGGCGGCGCGCAGCACGAGCCGCCCCGCCCGCCACTGTGCCTGCCTCGTGCCTGCAGGGTGCTCAATTCCTCTGGGCGGGACCGGATCAGCGCGCCTTTCTTTTATGAGACCAACTTTGAGGCCGTGATCGGGCCGCACCCTCAGTTCTGCCGGGACAGGTGAGTGCCCTGGCCAGGGAGGCCGCTGGGGGGCGCCAGCGTGCGTGCCAGCCTGGGTGCCAGCCCGGGTGCACGGCTGCTGAAGCCTGCTGAAGCCGGCAAGTGTTGACGGTGGGCAGGGGTGCTGCACATGCGGTGCAGGCCGGCGCGGTACGAGCCGGTGCGGTACGGGTCTCACCTGGAGAGCAAGGTGCGCGCCTGGCCTGCTGCTGGGCCCTGGGGCCAGCAGTGGCCAAGC